TTTTTTAAATATACTTTCTCAGCCGACTTCAACCATCAGGCCGTCCCACCAAACTTCGTGTTACTGTCGTCCTCGGCATACTCAGTCAGCTCCTTACACTTAACAATGGCTGCGAGTCTATCCATAGCAGTTACCGGACTAGCAGGTCGCCCCTTCCCATTTTCCAAAATTTCAGTATATTCTCTTGGGGCTTGTATTGCTGAATTTGTGATTTGGAATAATTATCGGTCCAAATACTCGGGGTAGAAACTTCGATAAGCTGAGCGAATCTTCGGTAGTACATACAATATTTTACGAGATCTTTCTCAAAAATCGACAGATCCACCGTATATGCATGTGTAGGCCCTCAGAAGTATCTAAATTGTGAAAATACGATGGAATCCGTTTACCATTATACCAGGTTGGTTGTTGATCCTTTCGGAGACCGTATTTGCTAAGTACATGTATACCTCCCTCCATCCATCTGCTCTTCCGTGTTGTCATGTAACAAAGCAGGCAAAGCAGATGGAAAAAGTATAATTTCGGAACGAAATTGCACACTCTTCCTCAAAAATATTCCTTAGTTCCAGTAAAGATAAGTCTAAACAAGTTCGCTTTAGCGTGAGACCGGGCTAACGAGGGGATTGTTTCAACACGCGAATCGGAGTGCAACCAACCCCCTCAGTATAATCGTCTAATGGATTTACTGGATGAATAGATGCACTCCTGATTAGCAGATGTAAAAAATCCCAGCCTTACCGAAGACTAGGTTGGTAAGCAAGGCCCCGCTAGGTTGTCGGTCATGCGTTTCAGGCCATTGTTGCATTTCACTCATACTTGTACTTCTGAAACGCAGGTACAATGGCTGCATAGTAACATTGATTCACTCGCGTCTTCTGAGGCTAATTACCTTCATCAGCGTTTAAGCTGCCACTAGAAATCCCGTACTCAACTCGAGACTGTAGGCGTTGTTTGCACTTATGACTGCTGCGGCTGCTGCCGCTGCTGCTACCCGTAAACGTCACCACCACCATCGTCAGTCAGTTAATGACTCAGAAACACCCTAGACTTGAGATCGTGCCAAGTTCATGAAAGAGTGCACCAAAACGTGGGCTGTATTCCTTGTCGCTGCTGCTGTCAGCATAAGCCTAGCACCGGCTAGCGCCAGCTATCTTTCGCTAGGT